AAGAAAGGAAGAAAGGAAGAAAGGAAGAAAGGAAGAAAGGAAGAAAGAAAGAAAGAGAAAGAAAGAAAATGAAAGTTTCACAAACTGGCTTTGGTGGCCAGTTATGATACTGGGACTCCAGATAACAGGTGTCACTTCTGGGCCCCAAGTCCATGTGTTAGGCAGGGATAACAGTAATATCACCTTTATGAACCCATAGAGATATTTCCTTAGTGCAATAGCTGTCTCCTAGTAAGTCCACATCAGGCACCTAGGATATTATTGACCTCTTATACAGGTTGACAGTGCTGTATGACATCGACAACAATGACAGTGCAACAGCTGTTCAACAGCTTTCTGTGCAATACAGAACACCTAATGCAGATCCAGTTAACCTTGTGTACTTATTCAGTCCCAAATAAAATCCTACGATTCTGTCTTTCTTGTTGCCTAATCCTGCATGCACCTATGTCTTTGTCAGCAGAGTTCTTCAGTACACTGTCTATCACCTGCACGTGATCTAAAGTCACCAGCAACTGCTCTGTGATCCATGACCTCTGATATCGCAGTGCCACTGTGCACACTTCCTAGTGCTGCGTGGCACATGAACACACTCCCTACACCTATAGGAGCAAGTCCTGGAGGAAGTATCAGCTGCTGTTACACTTGGAGGAGGAGAAGTCCAGTTACACAACAGCTTAGCAAACAGAGAAGATAAGAAAAACCTGCTCCCAGATCCCAAGCAAGTGCAAATTCACCTCTGCCATCTCTCAGAGATGACCTGAAGTAGCAGGCAAGACCATGCTGCAGGATGGTGTCCCTGCAGGAAGGGTGTCCCTGAAGCAGTTGTACTGCATATGGCATAAATGATGATCCTGTAATTTGAGAGTGAGAAAGAGCCTGTGTGACTCTCCAGTCACAGGGTGATATACTGGCCAGGACACCTGAGTTCCCAAACCTGCTGCAGATACAATAATGTGTCAACAGCTTTGTGTAATTCATGGTAGAAGAGCAGGTGAAGCAGATATCAAGTATTCACATATACTTACACACACACTTGTATATAAATGTCTTTAGAAAAATGAGTCACTACACAACATTTTTTAGACTAATAGTGAAGGAGGAAGACTCCTGACTAGAGGAAGGCTCAACCTAAAATCTAGAGTTAGCTCCAAAGCTGAATAAAGAAATGTGGCTCAGAACACACTTAACAATAAAGAAAAACTGTGAAAGAGCAAGGATAGATGACTAGAAGTCTGCAACAATGTAAGAAAATGATCAAATTACTCAGGACTCTACAGTCAAGGAAAGAGATGAGTGAGGGATGTGGCAGAGGTGTGTAAAATTAAAAGTGTCATGGAGAGGGTAGTCTGGCACCAATTTTGTACTGCATCTACCAATTCAAAAGTGAGCACTATCAAATCAAGCTCCAAGTAAAAATTCAAACTGAACTAAAAGGTGTAGTTCTCATTAAGTGGGTGGAATTCCTTGCAGCAACTTCAAAGATGACAGAAGTTGATTTGGGCTTAAGCAGCAACCAAATCACCTTTTCCTATTTTTTTTCCCCTGGGCATCGATTTAAGATTACTGGTAGTTTGGAGGTAGGAATATGTTTTAATTCAGGAAAAAGAACAAAAACAGTTTCCCACATCACAAGTTTTACTGTCAAGTTCCCTGATCTGGGGAAGTTGCAGAAATCAGTCTACCTGAAGTGCTAGTGATGAGGCTCACTCTCAAAAAACACCTTCATGATCAGAATGCCTCCCTGTCAGATAGGTATCACAGACAGCCTGTTGGGCTGGGTGAATCCTTGTTTTGACCTAGCACAGCCATTCTTACGTTCACTCATCCCCCTGGTATCTCTGTTGATTATCAGAGTCTACTGATACTGACTATTCATACCAACTCGTCTCACTAACTCCACACACACACCTGCTTCGGCACCCACTTGGTAGGCATTACTTACCTAGAAGATACATGGGCTTTGCAGGTTTGAGTGCCGCAAGCCTTTGCTTCTGTTTGGAGCTAACACATAGAGCCAGCTCCACATTGCTCAGTAGGCAGTCCAATGTCTGAAAAATGGACCCTGTTAGTCTGTTAAAAACACTAAGATGAGACCCTAGACATCATATTGGGTGGGGAATGGCATTCTTGAGGAACAAGCTAAAACCCCCTATTAAGTGGGAAATTACCTACAGGCAGCCAACAGGAGATAATTTTTTTAAGGAATACATTAAGGACCATCTCTGTGGTTTAGACACACTGAATACTTCCAAGGGATGAAGATGCAGATCCTAAAAGGCAAATAAGCCTACCTGGAGCAAGGCATAGGTGCTGAAATAAACATTCATAGTCATACTCAACTGCCTATGGTCTTGTAGCTTTGAAAGTTATCCAGGTTTTATAATCTCTCTCCTTAGTAAACTTCTATCTAGATTGCACAGGAAGTGTCAGTGGGATATTTTGGATCTTGCCCTTAATGCAAAGATGTCTTGAGAGGAGAATCAGTTAGTTGAACAGAAAGAGCCTGATGAAAACTTAACTAAAGTAGATGGAAGTAACTCCTTTGTGCATCCTACTCTGGGAATACAGGAACCTTATGAAGTTTGAGGTTCTGTGAACATAAGGGATTTTTAAATTCTCTGAGGGCTTGCAAAATGAATTTTGTCTCTTTCTACTCTATCATTAAAACTCATAGTTTGTTTTATTTCATATAAGTATAATTCAATTTTTTAAAAACCACAAAAAATGTTTTTCTAGCTCAGATAATCATGTGCAATGTATTAAGGACAGAACAGCCTCCAAGTCCAAGGTTTGGCACAGTCTCAGTCCTAGAGAGACATACTTACAAAAATTGGGATCTTTTTCTTTCCCTTTTCTCTGCTGCTTTCCCAGAGTGTCTCTTTTTCACACAATCAGCTCTCTGTTTCTTTTCTCACCCTGTTTTTCACCATATATACTTGTCTTCCCCCTCTTTCATAGTCACCTTTAGAGATATAAGATGTGCTCCCAGTAACGCTGAAATCAACATCAACATTTTAATGAATAATATTTCAGTAGGTTTGAAATGTGTCAGAATGATTTAGCCTATGTCTAATAAGAACAAGACATCCAGGGATTATTTCTAGCATTCTGTCTTGTGAGTTTATCATTTCTGATTCAGAAGCACTGCATTTTGAACACCACCAGGCCAAACCTTTAAACAGTATTCACTCAAATTAAAATTTAAATTTGTTTGGGTGTCTTCATGCTTCCATTTGCATTCAGTTATTATGAATATGCCAATATGTGAAATGATGACAGAACCAATCAGACTAAGAACCTAATTTTAACTAAATACATAATTCAATAGTTGGAAGAACCTAGAGATCAGAAAGTTTTTTAACAAATTTGAGATAGCTGTAAACAGCTGAAGGGGATTTCTTTAAGAAAAGAGAAATCTAATAATCTGCACAAGTACATCTCAGTAAAATACTCGTCACAAATATTGAGCATTCTCTTTATAAGAGACAGAGTTGAAATAATGGCTCATTTGGCTACTCTGAAGCAACAGCTCAGCCTCCAGGGCCACTGACTACCAGCAACAGAAGAAACTTTAAACCTGGCTTCTATTACGTGGCACGTCATCATGCACATCATCAGGTATGGCACACACCTCAAATCTTATCTACCCTCACACAAAAGCATCTTAAAATCTTGGAGGTTTATTTGATATTATTCATCCTATGACCCTGGAGTAACATCATAATATTTGTGTGAAAGATGAATCAAGAGCCACTGTTTTTTAACTGGCTTCCTTCCCTAGAGACAGGTAATTCAAAGTCCAACAGCATCTTCCAAGTTGAAATAAAAAAAACAAAACCTTGAAACATTTATAAAGCAAAGTAACTTCCAAAGAATAGTAAATAATGTGTTATCAGAGGCATAAGTTTCGCGAGTCGCATTTTTTACACAGAGAGTAAACAGAAGGCACATTCTCATACCAGTAAGTGCTGTTTTACCTGAGCTTGGTATGTACAGAGGATGCGTTTATTCATTCTTTCTTGTGTCAGAAAATGTAGAGTAGTTCATAGGCTGCAGTGTTTCAAATTTCCACATTTTGAAAGACTGCAACTGCTCCTCCAGATTGTAAACTAAAAACCTTTTCTTGTGTTCCAGTGCAGAGCCTCATGCCTTACCTGACCAGCATAGGATCAGAAGGGTCACAGTGCTGGCCATTCTGCCCTAGCTTAAATATCCAGGTTAAAAAAATAGAAAAGTGAGGCTTGCACAGATTTGGGGCATACTTTATTTTACACATTTAGAAATATTTGTTGCATCAAAACTATGCCAAGAAACCAAGTAACTAGATTTTGGATCTGAATTTACCTTTTTGTTTCATTTTTAAGGAAAAGTCTGACAATAGAGGTCAATCTATTTTCCGCTTACAGTCTTATAAATTATAGTGGTAATCTTTCTGTTACTGACAGCAGTGTTAGCATTTGCCTATTACTGTGTTGCCTGGAAGTCCTTGGCAGATATCAGGATTCTAAATGCCTGTCTAGATGTTGCAAACAGGACATTGTGAAGAAAATGAGTATTAACTGTGATTATTAGAGTCAGCTGTAACCAGAACAACTGCTTAAAGGAAAATTTTGGAAAATCTTGGACCCACGTTCAAACTAGCTGTTCTGGACACTTCTGTGGTAATTGCTTAGTCTGTATTCTTGAAGCCCTTAGTTGCTAACTCTGACTTTAAATTGGAGCCTCTCTTCCTGTCAAAATCCCAAGACACAGAATCAACAGAAACAATGGAGGAGAAGAGAATGCTATTTTGCTTCACAAAATATTAACTGAACACAAAATAAGGGTAGAGGTTACATTAAAATGTAAAGAAAGCACAGTTTTATATATTGCCAGCAGTAAACCACCTAGATATAAAAGTACTTTCTTTTTCTCTAGAATCAAAGAGTAGGCTGTAAGTGCAAAAAAAAGGTAAAACTACTATGAACAAAACAGGAAGAACTAGGAAAAAAATCATTATTGAGTAATCTGTCTCTTAAATAGTTAAAGACCATCTTGCATTGGTGTACTTGCACAACCTCAAACCCCTTTATTATTAAGAAATGAATGCAGATTATTTCCTTTACACATATGACAGCCAGAATATTTTTGTATTACTACATAAGAGGTTCCTCTCTTTTACAAAATGCTATGACTCCTGTTAGCAAACAATACAGTTTTGTTAACTCATTACTCAACCTCACATGCAATGTAATAAAACTTGTGATAAATTGCTCTTCGTCCGTAAACTCTCCCACAAGTAAACGGCTTTTGACAGCAAAGAAGCAATATCTCCCATCCCTCTCCACTGAATTTCTATTAGTTTTGCAGCATTTCTGTGCTACAAATAATCTACAGCAAAGACTTGATGTAAGAGCACAAATTTCACAAAATATAAAACAAAACGCTTACATTGTAAATTCCTCTGTACTCACAGTTACAAGAGACATGTAGCAGCTTGCTGCTTTGCTGTAGTGGAACCTGCAAAATATATGCAAGGTAATGAAAGAAAACAAACATAAAACATTTCAAGAACTTGATCTTGCAAGTTGCTGAGGCACCAGCAGTAATTTCCATGGGAACATCTGTGCTTAAAGATAAGAACATGCTTGAGAGCTTTCCTGAGGCAAAACCAGAAAACTCAACTTCTCGAGCATTTGAATTTCTTCTCATTTGAAAGTACAGAGATGATCATGACACTTTCCTCAGCTGTTTTAATTAGTTGATGTGTTTTAGATGTAAGCAAATCAGAACAATATGCTTTTCTTTTCACTTAAAACTCTGCAATTTTTTTCCTGTGTGTCTAAACACCTTGAAGAAAATCCCTTCTCTACCTAACCTGAGAAGAATTCATTGAAACATTATTATATTTCATAACTAATTAAAGAGAGTACTTTGAGTATGTGATTTACCATGTGCTTTATCTGACTGTATTTGATCCCCTGACCTTTTAATGAAAAGGGGAAATAGATTAATCTGTGGTGAAAACATGACACGATTACCAACTCTGCCTTACTTTCTAGAATCTATATGAATTTTTTGTACCTAGGTTTTGCAACCTAGTATTGTGAGTCATCTTCCTAGTACAGAGATGTCATCATATTTATGACCCTATGTTTTCTTTTTCTTGCCTCAGTTTCCGTTCTGGCCTTAGCTGAACAGTTTAACCTTAGACTTTCCCCATTGCTTCCTGTGTTAAATCCGTGTTGCTGAGAAGTCTTTGCTGATCTCTTAACCTCTAGCATTCATGTTTCCTATGTTTTGCATAGTCATTATTAAAATCAGTAACATTTTCTTGGAAACATTTTTAAGGTTGTTGAAGTATTTTGGAATCCTGCCTGTTAGTAATCTTCCTACACAAAATACTGTAAATCAGTGCTTGGCCAGTTGATATGATTGTTGCTCATGTTGTAGGTGTTCTCAAATGTTCTCATTCTCAAATGACTAGGATTCTTTGCAGCAGGAGCTTCACAAATACAGGCAGAAACAGTACAAAAGAACTCACTGTTGCCCAGATTACACAAGTTTTAAAACTTTAACCGAAATGACACACATCTTTCATCAATGAACAAAGTTGTAATGGCTTTCACACTCTTGGCCAGAGTCAAAACAGCTGGTTTTTAAGAGCAATTTTCTATAGATGCTAAAATGTTTATTCAATGCTTTACTTCTTATGCTTCTAAGTACCAAATATCAAATGCAAGTGGCTATAGTAATCAGATTTAATACATCATACTG